AGCTGCTGCAGTTTCCATAAGGGGGAATCTCTCCTGCGCAAATGGCTTTCCACCTCGGATTCTCTTTCTTCCTTCTTCATTTCAGCATCACGATTTCTCTCCTCCACCACCACCCCTTTCCCCATCCGCCTTTTGTCTTTTCAATTTAAGCAGAGTTTACTTAGCAGTCCGCAGCTCCCGCTTGCTTGGCCGGGTGAGAATTGGTTTACAGCTGTAACACCTACCCTGCAAATCCAGAACAACCCGTCCCGGGGTGGGGGGCTGGGAGGAGGGGAGAAGGCGCGCCATGAGTTCATTGTGTAACTTTCTCTCCCCTTCGCGAATGAGCTGCATTATTTACCCGTCATATTTGCTCATCCTTAATCCGTTTGCGAGCCGGCAAGACTGCAGGAAATCGCGCGGGAGTCCAAACCAACCCCTTCCGCTCCGAATTCTTTAAAAAACAATCTGACCCTATAGAGTTCTTATCATTAGAGCCCTCTCTGTGTGCTTAATTGCAGCTTTTTAAACGGCACACCGCGGTCGCCTGCCAGATGTCCCTATATTTGAAGGGGTTGTGCTCTTAGGTTTTCGATGCCACAGGTTATGGCTTTCTCCGTGACAAATGAGATACAGCAAGCAACTATGTCCCTGGAATATGGATGGATTGATAGGTTGAAATATTCCCTAATTCACATCTGGATGTGGTCGGTACTCTCAGATCCTTATGTTATATACAGCCTGATCCAGTTAAAGTTGGGAGTATGTGGATTCAAGCTCCTCCAGTCTCTCTCTCTCTCTCTCTCTCTCTCTCTCTCTCTCACACACACACACACACACACACACACTTGCCAATGATTGTAGGTTTAACTTTAGGAGTAAGCCCAGTTGATACCATTACAACTGATTTACATAGAAGTGTGCTTAAACCACAGCCTTGCTGACGAATCCCCTGCAAATCAGAATGAAGTCTATATTTCTTCATTCAGGTGGCCCCCTGTGCGTCTGTAAAAATACAACTAAAATCATACAGCATCTAGCACAGCATAGTACAATCGTGACAAGAGGCAGAAAAATTATTTAAGTGGTTCCCAAGACCCTCAGCAATTTTCAAGTGGGCCACAGGGAATTTTCTTTGGTAGCCACTGTTTGTTGTTGGCATCTGTTTATCTCGAGAGACAATGGGGTGTGCCTCCAGAAGTGAAGTCAAACCTCTGCATTAGTAGCACCAAAGTGACCTTTCCAGAGTGCAAGCCTGGTTAGTGTGTATGGAGGTCCTGGGATACAAGATTCTTGGCACTGTATGAGACCAATGGTAAAAATAGCCTGCCTAGCTAACCTACCAAGGGATATTTTGCTTTATTTTAACACGGCTAACATATGTACCTTTTGAATCAATAATATGAAACACTCACTATAGTGTGAAAATTGTCAAATGGGAGGGTTGGGGAGAAATGAGAAGAAGGAAAAGGATATAAATCATATGCCTACTTTGTCATAAAAAACCAACCAAACGCACACGAAACACAGTGATATTTTCAGCATGAATTGAAATGTGCCATTTGCAGAACAGGAAATATTCCTGAAAGCTTCTTCTTGTCCCCATTAAAAATAGTTGCAAACAGTTGAATCAACGTGGGCGATGCTGGCATCAAACTTCCCAAAGCAGAATATGAGAAAGAGGAAATCCCTGCACTGGACAGGAAATGAGAAATGATGAGCTATATCTGCGCTGCGGACCAATTTGGAGAAGACGTGATCTCTGGTGTATTGTCAAGCCCATTGCCTGTGCTGTCACAGGACTCCTTTCTTTATTGCTAACTAAGCCCAGGGGCTACTCTGATTACAGATATACTGTAAGCAGCTGCTTAAGATGATAGCTATGGGAGAAGACAATGTCGATGAATCTTTAGGGGAACTGCTGCCGAGCACTGACATTCACTCACCTTCGGAAGGTTTGTGCATAATCTTTAGCTAAGATAAGGTCTGTAGTCATAGGCTTGAAGCCCCAAGGTTGAAAGGTCCTCCTTGATGGCTATGCATCCCAATGTCTCCCTCTCAAATAATGCTGCACACTCATAATTTGCTGTGGACAAAAGAAAAACCCTCACAATGTCTATTGCCTGATTTGTAGCCAGAGGAGAGGTTTTGGGATTACATCCAGTGGTTCTGTTAGGGCTAGAATTCAGAGCTCGGGTCCAGGAGCCCACCCCTCCCCAAATGAGCAGCAACAGATGATGGGGCCAATAGCGACAGGAAACAGGTGTGGTGTCCACTTCCTAGCATCACACAAGCCATGTGGGGTCCAGAGACACTCTGAGGATATGAAAGTGGCAGGCACTAGGCAATTCACTGCACAACCCACTAAATCTGTTTGCTTTTTTAAAAAAGTGAATGCTCCCCCCCCACCTGGCAAAGTGGGCAGGGTGGAGGGCAGCAGAGCAACCAGGGGAGAGGAGAAAGAGCAGCCAGAGCAATATGCAGGAGGCAGCCAGGAGGCTTCTCTCCCTCATCCCTGCCATCTTACTAAGAGTTTCCCCTAATTTGCCAGGGCCAGTGATGGAATATGTCAACGTCACTTGAAATAAATAAAGAAAAGCTTATCTTTCTTAAATGTTTACAATGGTGGAGTCGTCAGAGGACGGTGAGTGAAAGCATTTTGTGCCTTATCATAAAACATTTTTCTTTTGAATCTTCTTATAAGGGCATGGAAGTGGCTGTATAGCTATGCAGATGCTCTACAGAGACAATACAGGCAAGCAGCGGCAGTCAGGGTTAGGCGTGCATCTCCTCCTCCATTTTTGAACATTTTCAGAGGTCAGACAATAGATTGCCTTCCTAGAACAGTGCTGCTTGCAAAAGATTTGATCCAGAAACATTTACTGATGGTTAACTTAATAAATGTGTCAATGGAACTGGTAAAATTGCCCTGCCTGAAACCTTCCTGAGGGATCGTGGTGCTTGCAGGTGGCATGAAAGTACAAACACTTTCCTCTCTTTTCCAACATCCCAGTTGGGTGTGAAAATTAGGCCAGAAGCGCTTTGTGCACCTAATTATAATGCTGTTGATTGATGGTGTTGGGGTGAGGATGGAGCAATAGAGCACCTGTTTTCCACAGGCCTTTAAGTTGTTTTTACTTATCCTCTGTTGGTGCTTTATCATCTGTAGGGCATGTAGTTCTCCCTACCCGCCACACTTACAATTTAGTCTGCCTCTGCACAGACCAAGATAAAGTGCACACATATGCCTGTCTGTTCAAAAGTAAGCCTACAGAGTTCAAAATGTAGGCACTTACTATCGGGATGCATGGTTTAACATTGCCATCCAAGGCTGCATACACACCATATGTTTAAAGCACATTATTTCCCCCAAATAATCCTGAGAACCATGGTGTACCTTCACAGGGCTCCAGTCCCCAGTGCTTCACAAACTGCAGTTCCCAGGATTCTGTGTGAAAAACAATTTGCTTACAATGTAAAGGTAAAGGTACCCCTGCCCGTACGGGCCAGTCTTGACAGACTCTAGGGTTGTGTGCTCATCTCACTCTATAGGCCGGGAGCCAGCGCTGTCCGCAGACACTTCCGGGTCATGTGGCCAGCGTGACAAGCTGCATCTGGCGAGCCAGCGCAGCACACAGAACGCCGTTTACCTTCCCGCTGGTAAGCGGTCCCTATTTATCTACTTGCACCCGGGGGTGCTTTCGAACTGCTAGGTTGGCAGGTGCTGGGACCGAACGACGGGAGCGCACCCTGCCGCGGGGATTCGAACCGCCGACCTTTCAATCAGCAAGTCCTAGGCGCTGAGGCTTTTACCCACAGCGCCACCCGTGTTGTGTGTCTATTTATGAAGCTCGAGCCAAGATGCCTCCTTTACCTGGCTTTGAAATGGTGCACTCATACTTCTTTCTAAAAAGAATTGAGCCCCCGCAGTGATAAACGGTATGTGAATGTAAACTTCACATGTTACCTGTGCCCTATGGGTGATATGTGGGAGCCTCTGCATTGAGAGCACTGATGTGGACCTTGCAATCAACTTTTACAATGCTTTTAATATCACAAAATTGCAGGTGGCAGGTACCTCTTAGAAAAGCCATGCCCCTTTCTCTCACAGGAAGAAATGCCTCCCCCTACCCTCAGCCACAAATAATGCTGGTTATGACATGTGCCCATATTATTTGAAAGCAAAGTGTGCTTTTCCCCCAAAGAGAGCATTCTTAATTAACATAAAAGCATATGCAGACTGAGTAATCAAGGTTTCTTTAATTGATGGCAGCCCTAATAAGACACTTATAAGTAAAATTAAACCAATTCTCTTGAGCTGCAGAATTCAAGATTCAAGCATCTTTTAAAGAATCTAGACTCCAAAGTCACTGTAAAGTTGTTTCTACCTTGAGTAAGACTATTCATTTATTGCTGTGCTGTAGTCCCTAGGAAATCACAGCCCTTATCTTCAGGGCTGCAGATACTACTACATAGCAAAAGTTATTAGCCTGCAATCTTGTGTACATTTACCTGAGAGTAAGTCTCGTTGAACTAAGTGGGACTTACCTCATTGGGCTTTGCTGTAATTCCAGGGGATTGAACTAGGGCCGGATCAGCACTAAGCAAGGAAGCTGCATTTCTGAGTTGCTCAAAAAAGACTGAGCCAGCCAAACAGTCTCCAGCATCTCCCTGGTACTCCTAGGTGACCTCACAGCTGATTCGGAGCCAAGGAAAATAATGAGCGATTGAAACAAATTGCACAGAAGGGTGACATAGGAAATTGCCTCCTGAAGGCAAATGAACAATATAGGATATATAGAATGAAATAGCACAGATGACACTGTAGGTTTTTTCAGGTACAGTGTGTGAATATTTGGATTCTGTTTATTCTTTCAAAGTGGCACAACTCACTGTTTTTCTTATTCAATAATTCAGTTTATTTTCCCTTTCTTGCAAATTAATGTAGACATTTTCAAGTACTGTACTACACGTTTAATCTAAAAGCTATACACTAATCAGTTCCTGGTGTAATTTTCTAGGTAGAAACAGCAGGATGTTGAAAAAGAAAATCGGGCGAGTTTTAGGTAAGCAGTTTTGCACCTTTGATTGCCTTAGGAACGCCTGGAATTTTTCCAGGCACTTAAAATTTTTCATTTACAGATAGGTAGCCGTGTTGGTCTGCCATAGTCAAAACAAAAAAAATTCCTTCCAGTAGCACCTTAAAGACCAACTAAGTTAGTTCTTGGTATGAGCTTTCGTGTGCATGCACACTTCTTCAGATACACTGAAACAGAAGTTGCCAGATCCTTCTATATAGTGAGAAGGTGGGGAGGGGTATTACTCAGAAGGGTGGTGGGAATGGGTGATTGGCAGATAGCTGGGATGAGCCTGTTGACGACTCTTAACGACTGCAATAGGTCTTACAGGAAAAAGCAAGGGGTGAGAAGGTCCACCACCCTTCTGAGTAATACCCCTCCCCACCTTCTCACTATATAGAAGGATCTGGCAACTTCTGTTTCAGTGTATCTGAAGAAGTGCATGCACACGAAAGCTCATACCAAGAACTAACTTAGTTGGTCTTTAAGGTGCTACTGGAAGGAATTTTTTTTGTTTTAAAATTTTTCATATTAGTTATAATACAGCTATTCCACAAAATTGCTGGTTGCAATCTGGCCATGGAATGCACAGAATAGCTGTTGCCCTGCCCTCAGCCAAGTCCTATCTAGGCAAATAACAGCGCCACCAGTGTTATTTTATTTAATTTTATGAATTTATATACTGCCCTATACCCAGAGGTCTCAGGGTGGTTCACAGTGTTAGGAGGGCAGCTCTATGGATCACCTGCCCCATGAGTCGCTACTGTTTGGATGCTCTGCCATGGGACTGGCACACAATGAACTACCTCCTAGTGATAAGGCTGAGAGATAATGTACAGTAGATGGGCAATGCTCGCTGAGGAATATATGCCTCTGTACACGTACTGACATAGGTCTCCATCAGACTGACATTGATGGCACACTGGCTAGGTGGCATGGCAGATACACAGGTCAACATATAGCAGGTGGGCTAGTCTCCATGTTCTCAATAGCACCTTCACAAATACAGTATTTACAAAAAAACCTTTTGAGTGTAGGAATAAAATCCTGACAACAATTTTTGTGATCATGCGGTCCTATAGTGCTTCTAGGATGTAGGTGGATGTTGAGTACGAGCAACACTGCCCATTCTGGGGGGGTGTCCGTTCGTCTGTCCATTTCTCATCCAGTGGTTCTAGTATAATCTAGGTTATTGAGTGAGGACATGTAGTCCCATGTAGGCTGTTCCGTTCAACAGGGATGAATGGGAGTGTGCAGCTGAGATCCTCTTCTTGCCTCAACTGGAAAAGGAAGACCTTGCATTTTATCACTTTATCACAGCTGTTTCTATCAGTCAGCACTAGGCAAAGAAACTGCCTTAGGCAGTGGGTGTTAATTGGCAATCTACGTCCTTCCTGTCATGAAGTGTTACTTTGAGGTATTACCAGCTTCTGCTAACACTTGAGTCCTTGAATAAAGGAAGCAAATATGCAAGAGGGTGTGTGTGTGTGTGTGTGTGTGTGTGTGTGTGTGTGTGTCAATTGCTTGACTCAACTAAGTTGTGTGTGTTTTCAATATAAGTAGTCGCCTCTGTTGTGCTTGGGGTTAATTTTGAAAGTGGGATTAGGGAGGCTTGTCGTGCCTGACCACAAACTGCAATTGCTAGTAACTGTGCTGCACTAAGATTGTTAGAAGGACCTTTAAAAATATTTGATCATGCACCTGCAGCAGCAGGGTGTTGTGCAGAGAACAAGTAATTCAGTACAGTTTCTCCATGCAGCTTTAGAGTCTAAAGGAGCCTTCCACAACCTGGTTCCCTTCAGAGGTTTTGGACTGTAACTCCCACTTTGTGATAGGAAGCACTCTGGCCTGGACTGAAAGGAGTTGTAGTCTGCAAAGGCAGCACGCTGGGGTCTAAAGCATGTTAAGTAAAGGTAAAGGGACCCTGACCATTAGGTCCAGTTGTGACCGACTCTGGGGTTGCGGCGCTCATCTCACTTTATTGGCCAAGGGAGCCGGCGTACAGCTTCCGGGTCATGTGCCCAGCATGACTAAGCCGCTTCTGGTGAACCAGAGCAGCACACGGAAACGCCGTTTACCCTCCCACCGGAGCGGTACCTATTCATCTACTTGCACTTTGATGTGCTTTCAAACTGCTAGGTTGGCAGGAGCAGGGACCGAGCAACGGGAGCTCCCCCCTTGGCGGGGATTTGAACCGCCGACCTTCTGATTGGCAAGTCCTAGGCTCTGTGGTTTAACCCACAGCGCCACCCACGTCCCCTAAAGCAGTGTTTCCCAACCTTTTTTGGGCAAAGGCACACTTGTTTTATGAAAAAAATCTCGAGGCACACCACCATTACAGCCCCGTGACGTCAGCGCACAGCGTCACGCCGGGAGGGACATGAATTGCTAGCAAATTACATAATCACCTCCTTGAGGGCTGGCTCATCTTCTCCGAAGGCAGAACCCCATTAATTAACAGCACAGACTCACACCATAGCCAAGACGAGGGGGGAAAACCTCAGTCATGCACAGTCATGCACATGTGGGGGCTAAATGAGGATGAAGACCGGGCAGAGAGCAGGGTTCAAATCACCCCACCTGGCCAGGACAATCCCTGGGTGCTCCCTTGGGCCACTCGCCTGACCCACCTCGCAGGGCTGTTGTTGCGAGGATAACACGGGGAGAACCACGCGCGCCCCCGGGAGCTCCTTGGAGGAGAAAGCGGGCGATGAATGCAATGCACGAAAAATATGAGAGGCGACCAGGTTTTGCAGGTGAGGGGCCCCCGCCAGCCTCCGCTTCCAACACCCGGCGCAACGACGCCGAAGTTTCCCCCTGGGCTCGGCTCGGGGAGCAGCGCTGCTCCCCCCCGGCTCCCCTTCGCCCTCCCGGCTCTCTCTGCCGCCCACTGGGGACCCCCCTCACCTGCCAAGTCCGGAGCACCGGTGGAAGTTGCATGCATGCATGCAGGGCGCCGCGTTGCCATTGCATTGCACTGCACTCCATGCAACGCCTGCACGCATGCATTGCCTTGCACGCCCGCCAAGGGGTCTCCCCGCGGTCTGATGCGTCCCCTCCGGCGCGGATGCAGCATTGCAAAAATAAAAAAACCCCGACGCAGCCCTACCTGGGGGGCAGCCTCCGCCTCTGCCGCTCCGCCTCCGCGGGGATCCCCGGGCTCCATCCTGCTGCCCGATCTCCGGGGGCGCAGGCAGGCTGCGCGGGGTCTGCGCGGAAGAGCCCCTGCCCGCCCGGCCGCCACCGCTGCGCTCATTCCATGGCCGGGAGAAGAGCGCTTCAAACAAAACGCCCGGCCCGCCAGGCCACGCTGGGAAACATAGTTCGCGCACCCCGCGCGGGCGCGGAGCCCAAGGGCGAGGGGACTACGGATCCCGGCAGCCCCCGCGCCGGGGACGGAGGGGGAGAGGCCGGGTGCAGGGATGGAGGGACGGGTGGGCGAGCGAGTGAGTGAGTGGCAGCCGCCAAGCCTTGGCCGAGAGCCAGGAAGGGCCTCCCCGGAGGAGGAGGAGGAGGAGGAGGGAGGCGCAGAGCGGGAGGGAGGGAGCGAACCCCAGGGGTCATCTAGTGATGGCGCCCCAATCGAAAATTTGACTTTAAAAAAAAAAAATCTTTCAATTTTTTTATTTTTCCCGCGGCACACCAGGCAACATCTCGCGGCACACTAGTGTGCCGCGGAAAAGTGGTTGGGAAACACTGCCCTAAAGCATGTTACATGAAGAAAATAAGGGAGAGAAGGTAAAGAGGAATTAAAGTAGGAAACAAGGGGCTGAGCCCAAGAGCAGAGAGGAAAAAAGAAAGTTTGATTATAATTGTTTTCTGTAATTCTCTCCGGAAATAATTCTTACATCTATGAGGATCTGAGCCTAATGCCCAACTTTGTAAATAACCTCAGATACAGAGTGGCAGGAATCTAGAAATCTTTTGGCATAGTTATTGTTTGGCTTTTTGGTGTTTGCCACGGGGGCTCCTTTGGGAGAAAGAGCAGGATAAAAATGGAATAAATAAAATGAAATTAAAACTTTGGTTACCAAAACTTCTTCTTCCATGGTGTAGACAAGCCATGGAGCTTAGAGAAGGAATTCCATATTTTGTCTGTGTTCCTGTACCAGAGTCCTTTAGAGGAACTTTTTTTTTTTAATCCAGCAAGAGGATAAAACCATGGGTAGGCAAACTAAGGCCCAGGGGCCGGATCGCCCGCAGACGGTCCAGGAATCAGCGTGTTTTTACATGAGTAGAATGTGTCTATTTATTTAAAATGCATCTGTTGGTTATTTGTGGGGCACAGGAATTCATTCCCCCCCAAAAAATATAGTCCAGCCCCCCACAAGGTCTGAGGGACAGTGGACTGGTCCCCTGCTGAAAAAGTTTGCTGACCCCTGGATAAAACTATAGATGTGACCATTTGGAACAAATTTTGAACTCAGTGAGGATGGCTAGTTTTGGTCCTGTCCAGGGTCTGCATATGAATGGAATGCCTGTCTGAGCAGGAGGGGAAGGGGGTTCTTTAAAGCCACTTCTCTGAAACTACTCAAAAGCCATTTTTGAACTGGATTAAGGTTTTTAATGAATGCTTCGAGGTTTACTCTCTGCAGGGAGCATCAAAGAGTACAAGAGGGTTCTTTGGTGGTTTACTGTTTCTTTATATAGGATCTTTTTCCGGGGCTAGCTTTTCTTCCTTTTTAAAAAAATATGACCACAAGTTACATAAAGCATGGATTACGGAGTCAACGAGTTACATGACTTTTCATTTTCTTCTTTCTAAAGTATAGTCTTGGGAGGTTACATATGACCCACCTAGTCTGGATTCATGTCCATGCTGGTAGCGAAGAGAAACCAGCCTTTCTACAGCAGTAAGTCGTAAGATAGTCTTCATGCATTGAATAACATCCAGTCCCTAGAATTTGGAGAATAGATTGACAGACCACGAGTCATTCATGTTTACTACCCTTCCTTAAAATCCTTACTTTTAGCTTTCTTTGGCAAAT